CGATGCAACCTACTGGTACCCTATAGCTCTTTGGTGGATCTAAATGCCCTTCTTCCCAGGCAGATACTTTATAAAGATACATTCTAATCTCTGAGCAATATTTGTTCCTGTTTGAAATCTGTTAAAAGTTGCTTTTTTTTAATTACTTGAATATGACTACCACTGACATCCAGGCGTATAACATTTCCCCCCACCTAGTCTTCTTACATAGGCAGTATGCTATTCCTTAGGAGGCTAAGCCCTCGTTCACACCTGAATGTTTTGTAGCGCGTTGTACGCTCGACGAACGCTCTACAAAACGCTCAAACATCTAAATCCCATTGTATTCAATGGGTCTGGTTCACACCTTGGCATATTTCAGGCCGTCCCTAACGCGCTACAAAACAGCCCACACCTGAAAAAGTACATGTACTACTTTGGGCCGTTTTTGTTGCGCGTTTCCATTGGGATACAGCCAAATAGCCCTCGGAAACGCGCGTTTGTCACGCGATTTTTTACCGCGAATCGCGGTAAAAAAGATGCGCGACAGACGAGCATATGCAATATGCCTAGGTGTGAACCAGGGCTTAGGAATATGGCCTCCACAGTAAATGTGTTTGTTTTGTTTAATGTTGTAGTTTTTGTTACAATTATTACACTTTTTGCTACATTTGCCTCCAGTTTTACTGGACTTTTCCTCACTGAACCGACCAAAGACAACCTTCAAGCATCTGAATACTGCAACATGCCTATATTCCAGCTGGATAACCTCTCATCTCAGTTTTTCTGGCTTCATATATATCGGTACCACAATAACTGATAATAGAAACACTGCCATAGTTTTGTCTAATTTAAGGGGTCCACATAAACCCATAAAATGGAGAGCAATCCTCCATGCACTAAAACTAAATTCCACTCCTCAATTATCTGTCTGCAGATCTGTCTAAAAATAGATCCTTTACAGATCTTTTCTCAGACTTAAATTCCATTCATATCATACTTCATATTCTAGAGGCATCAGTATAAATGTTCATAAAGATATTACAGTCACCTACAGAAGAACGAAAATTGTTAGGGAGGGAAGATATATTTTTTGGCACTCTGTTGTCAACAGTGTTCATTATATTGTTGCCATGTGTATGTTCTTCCACCCTACATACCTGATGTTCAGAAAACTGTATGTAATTTTTGGTGGATAAGTCTGGCCTCACAACACCTGTTATTGAAGACTTCAACTCTATTATGAACCTGGCACTGGATAAATCTACAACAGACCAGAACAACCCGGAGGTTGTGCCTACCCATCTGGCAATGTTAGCTGCAGAGAGGTGCCTGATTAATGTATGGAGTTCAACATCCCAATGAGAGACAATTTTCCGGTTTCTCTCCCGCAGGTACGTCTCTCTCTTTAGGATAGAAATGACACTGTGCAACTCTTTAATAACATATGTCACCTCAAGAAACCTAACCGCAAGAAGTATTTCAGACCACTCACCCTTGGGCCCTACAACCACGATAGGCAGACCTTGATGGAAAGTTAAAATGTTTTGGTTAACTTCACCCCAAGCAAATAGACATTTTAACAGAGGATCTACTCTGACCGACATAATGTGGGATGCACTTGAGACCTTTCTTGGAGGCTTCTTAATAAAGGAAATGAAGGCAATTAAATGGCTGCAGTGGAAGCTGCAGGAAGAGCATATATTACTTATCCCTTCCTGAACCACAGCTTAGATGGCTGTAAAGTCAGGAGGAGAACAAACCCTTTTTTTTTACCAAACAAATATTTTAACGAGGGAGAAATTAATGGTTACTTTCTGGCCACTAAAGTAACTTCCCAATCTGAGAGTACCCATATAGGTGCTATAATAACATCAAATGGCAACATGCTTACCTCTACATGTGCTGTACTGACAGACTTTAAGAATTTTTACAAACCTCTGTATACCTCTAGATATCCATCAGATCCTGATGATGACGCAACCTTTTTGACATCTCTCACTTGTCTAAAACAGATAAATCAAAATTCCTAATTCTTATTGGCGGTAGTGTCTGTATGTACCTCGGAGCAACAGAGGCAGAGATGAAAGAACTCCTTCTATATAAGACATAGTAATAGTAGTGACCCTTATTATTGTATAAATGGTTATTTCTATAATCTGAAATGACGTACCTAATTGTACACCTGTAATGACCAGAGATAATGCAATTTTACATCTTGAACTTGGGAGAGGAAGAGGGAGGACAAGCAGAGTTTTATTGTTGTATGATAAAAGTTGTAAAAGCCACTAAAAATGTATCTGATTAAAAAAGCAAAAAACAACTGCTTTAGCATGACAACCAGGCAACTAGCATTTTAAGAGGTGAATTCAGCAATGGAAGCCTACATGGTTCTCTAAGTGTATGTTTTCTTTAATGTATTCTAAAATAAAACACAAAATTCTCAGTTAAGAAAATGCACATCTGGATTTGGAGTTCATCTATATAAGATGACAATACCATTTAATGCGGGGAAAAAAAAAAAAAAGAAGTTATCTTTCTCTTTTAGGATTTTATAGTACACACATGTATGCAACACAAACATAATTAACAACTCTTACAAATACATATATATTTTTTATTTTGGTCATACCATACAAATGGTAAAAAGAGCACAACACTGTGCTATAAGGAATGGTCTTCTTGTGATTCACTACTGCAGGAAGCATGCCCTATACAGGGCTGACATTTAATATTCCAGGTAGAAGCCAGTCTGAGTGACGCATCAGATCCAGACCTCCTGACATACAACACTTTTACAAGGGCTTGGAAGAGCAAAGCAGTCCACACTGTCCACATCTTGTCTTTCCAAGGACTATCCAGTGAGGTAGAAACACTATAGGAGTTAATTTTGAAGTATTAATACCACTGTCTTTGGCTTTCCAGCTTTCAATGAGTCTTGGTAAATGTTGCTCCTGAAACAAACTGATGAACACAAATATCTGCCTTCTCATTGTCATGGCTCTGTGGTCCACAAGTGCTGTTCCTGGCGAAGTCAAATATACCAGTATAGACTGCAGGGGTTCCCATTAGCAGGCAGTCTCTAGCAATCTCCTATATCATTTGCTTTGAGGACAAATTCTAGCAGGTCACGTCTGCGTGCTATTGCATTTCTCTTCCATTCCATTTATTCCACAATGTTGCAGTTAATGCAAACTAACTCTCCTCCCCTTTCAGTAATGAATGGATAAGGCTTTATCAGACTTGCCTATCCTGCAAAATATGCTGCTGTGGGCTCTCATGGGGCCACTGATGTGACCAAAATCTTTTGGTCGGAAGGATATGAGTTCAGGCACAGCCCGATATGGCTCTGCCTGCACATTATGCCCTTTCACCTACGTTTTCTCCATCAAATGCCAAGGCATCTGGTCATGTGAAAGGCATCCAGGCAGCATTTTCTGCAAGACAGGTCATCTGGGGCTTTTCTTTTACTATTAATTATTGTAAGGGGACAGGATGGGTGATGAGGTAGCTTGGCTACTCTACTTTAATCTATAATTTGCTAAGAAGATCCATGACATTTGAAGTGTGCAAAATGTCCATGTTTATGTTCGATGTTGTTGATGCCAATAGGTTAGTGTGCTAAGTTACCTATATATTAGTTTGAAATTGCACTGAAGATTGTAGGGCTGTGTTTGAAGTGTGGAAGTCCTTGGTAATGCTCTGAGCTACTTCAGCATCTCCCGGTCGATAAATGTACCACTTTGCCAACTCCACATTAAGCAAAAAAAGTCATAATGCTTTTACAGCGCTGTTTAGCTCCTCCACACCGATCGAATAAGTGTTGACGGTCCAGTACCACCTCTTGTTTTTCATTTAACCTACACATCACATTTTTATATATTTTCTTCCTGTTTTTTGGTGTATTTTTCTGAACCTGCAGTCATGTGCGTGTATTGCAGAGATGTACGGCGTTTTTCAAATTTTTGTTTTCATTTGCACTGACATAAACCGAAACTATGCAAAATTATATTGTTGTATTGACATATAAAGTTCCCAATTGACTAATTTCTATTACAGCCACACATTAGAAGAGGCATAACAAAAGGCATTTGTAAGCGATTGACAGAGCTTAGTCATTATGGAACAACCGGACATTGTTCTCATTATAGCCATGCATAGGATTACTTCGACAGCTAATTAGTACAGTTAAAATACCCCAAAACTTTGCATTCGTTTTCTTTTTTTCAGGCTTTTTTTTACCCGGTAATCCTGCCAATAACACATTTCCTGTCCCTTTGTGTCTACACCCATTTCTCCATTGTATCTAGCCTTTAGGCAATCTCTGAAGACTCACCTCTTCAAGGAAGCCTATCCCACAGAACTATCACTTTCTCAAACAAATCATCTCCACACAGCTACCACCTCTTGTATCACTTGCCCCTTCCTTTTAGATTGTAAGGTCGCAAAGGGCAGGACCCTCCTTACCATCTTGATTTGTATTGTAAGTGTAATGTCTGCCTTTTACTGTAAAGTGCTGTGGAAACTGTTGGCATTATATAGAACCTGTATAATATTAATAATAATCTATGGGGGCAGCCATGGTTCTCACACAGGCTTGACTTCAAACATTTCTATCTTTGTTTATCTTCATTACTGGTGCCTTGATAGGACTAGTAGTTTACACAAAGAAAACGTTTTTTTTTGTGCATTCTTAAGTCCAGAGGAAGTCACAAGGTCACTGCATTTCTAGCAAGATCAACAGATATTTCCTGTACTGGTTGAAAATGTCCTTAGCCTGAAAACGAATGCAGCCACCACACTTTAGGACTGGTAATGCAATAATGCATCTTTGTTTTTGGCAAAAAAAAATACACTTTAGGTTCAATATAAAATGATAGGTACACTTTGTGCATGAAGAGTGCATTCTATTCCAGTGTCATGTTTGCAATGGATGTAAAACAAAAACAAAAATGGAAGACTGTCAATAGGATAACACAAAGGGATGAGAAATGTTCATTCCTTCTGTCTTTCGGACTTACTTGTCACAGCTATGTTGATTTCTCCAGTCCTTGGAGTGATCTCTCCTTCGAGCGGGAGCTGAGATATTGACGATGAGCGCAGTGATTCCAGAATCAGCGATCCCTCGTCCACTGGGTCACTTGGTGCAGATCCTCGTGTGCTTGGCTGACTTCTGGTGAGTCGCTCTACATCGAATGCTACATTCTCGCTGCATGGCACATTAGTCTGAAAAATTAACAAAACAAAATAGGCTAAATTATAAATATTTATGTGCCTATTTAAAAGAGCACTCCAGGCAAAACAAAACAAATATACACTGAGAATAGCTGGTTTGGCCTCATCTTGTATATATGGTTCAGTTTTGGTCACCATCCCACAGAAAAGAGGTCCCAGAACTGGAGAGAGTCCATCGACGGGCAGCAAAACTGATAAAGGGACTGGAGGACCTAAGCTACAAGGAAAGATTGCAAAATGTAAATGTGTTCATTCTGTTCAGATAAGGTTCATGGATACAAAAAAACTGATGAAAATCGAATCAGTTTACATCAGTTTGCACATCCGTTGTCAGTTCAGTTTACACGTGCTTTGAACCTTTTGTTAAAATGGTAAATTCCCATGATTCTTTGCTTTCCCCCCAGCATGCATTGAGCTTGCCATGCTGTATTACGGTATCAGTTCCAAAAAACGGACATAATCTGAACTAATGTAAACTGATCATCAGTTTACATCAGTCCAGGTCATTTAAAACAGAGAGCTGATCCTTCTCAAATTGCAGACCTCAACTCACACTGAAGTAAACTGATGGTCATCAGTTTTCATCTGCACTTCCATAGAGATACATTGTTGTTTGTTTTTCATCTGCAAACGGAGGGTTGGAAACCTGACAACCTGAATGCTCGTGTGAAAGTAATATCAGCAGTAAACTGTTCACTGTACATTTACTAAATAAGACAAGAGAACACCACTTGAAATTGGAGGAAAAAGGATTTACCCACAAACTGTAAAGGGGATTATTTTCTGTTCGAGTGGTACGGTTGTGGAATGCACTTTCCCAAGCAATGGTATTATCACTGTGGTATTGGAGTATTGAATCATTCAAGAATTGATTACTTTCCTCAGATAACTAAACATACAGGGGTACACGTTCTCTTAATGACTAGTATACACCCATAGGTTTAACTGGATGCCCTTTATGTGCTTGGTAAACTGACGATATCCTTACAATTTTCAGCATTTTTCCTATATACTGTATATTTTACACTGTATTTGACGTTGAAAAAAGAATTCAACATCAAATATAGTGTAAAATATACATGTAGCACAGGCTTAGTATTGCTTTTTTAATATATGCAGAGTATTGCTCTCTGAAACATATATAGGAAAAATGCTGAAAATTATAAGGATATCGTCAGTTTACCAAACACATACTTGTGAATCGAAGGATCGAACATAGCCGCAGTAGGATATTCATATCACTCTAATTGTTATGGATGGAGGAATCTGTAAGATTCTGTTCACCAACTAATAGTGTAGTGCAATCATAACCATTTTTTTGCTGCTGGTACCTTTATCTTCAAATACAGCAAAACTAACAGTAAGGGGCTGATGTATAAACGTTCTGCCCCCCCAAAAAAGCTAAAACACAGTTAGACACGGACTAGGATGATGGATTTAGACACTTCACAGAGAGCAGTTCGGTTATTCTTAACAAAAATGCAAAGCCAAGCTTTTCTCTTTTCAAGCCATAAAAAAGGAGAACTAACTGATTTGAGCCACAATAGACTTGAGTGTGCAGTAAAATGCACCTCAATGGCCATGGTGTGAACAAACCCTTAAAGGAGAACTATGGGGTCAGTGTTTTTCCCCATAGTTCTCCTTAGGGTAACGGGAGGACACAAACTAGCGTCCTCCCGTTACCCTAAGCTCAGTATACCGCGAGCTACAGCTCGCGGTATACTGAGACGCCGCACCTGGAGCGGATCCCGGCGTAGATGACGGGATCCGCCCAGCTGCGTGAGTGGCAGCTGGCTGGCCGACCTAGAGGCAGAGCCAGCTGTACCCGCCCCCTCCCCCATCCGTTCCGCCAGTCGGCGCTGGCAGATCGGAGGGGGGGGGGGGGAATTCAGCCCCTCCCCCTGTCACGGCAGAGAGCCGTGACAAGATCGAGAGGTGAGGGAACCTGGTATGTGTTCCCACACCTCCCGATCTACTGAGCCAACCTGTGACAGTCTCATTGTCACAGGTCGGCTTAGAACTATGAGGTGAGTGAAAAGCACTCACCTCATAGTTCTCCTTTAATAAAACTTTATTCATAAACTACTTGAAGTATAAAGATATTTGGCTAACAGCATACAACCCCCTTTCACACCTAAGCGTCTTATCGTCCACTTGCTGTACATGAAGAATCCCATTATTTTCAATGGTGCCTGTTCACACCTGAACATTGTGTCATTTGTTGCTCAAACAAGTACATGAGCTTTTATTGGTCAGGTCTGCACTTTTTTTTGGCCCAACAGGCTACAATCTGGGTGTTGCTAGAAAAACACATGAAATGCAAAAAAACTTTAAAATACGGGGAAAAGCACAGCACCCATGCAGGTATTGATCCCTCAAAACACCAGATGCAGTTTGCCAACTATAGGACTTGTTTAGAAACCTTCTGTCACTTTCTCGGTTGAACTTCGAGCTGATGCGTTTTGAATCATGTCAGCGCTCTGCAAGTACCCATTTTTCAAGTACCTTTGTGAGTATTTCAAGTCATTTATTAAAGTTTTATTGAAGATTTTGCACAAAGTCGTGTGTAGTCTTTGTTTTTTAGAACCTGTACTGCAGGAGCAGAATGCATGGATGGCCTTAGCTGTCAGCGAAGGTAAGTACATGCCTGTTTGGGGGTTTCACTGATGAATGTATTGAGGGGGGCTTTGAAGGGGGGATATTTGAACAAAGGTTAATTTGTGCTTTAACCACTTGCTGACCAGCTCACACATATGTGCAGCGTAAGAAGTTTAACATCCAGCCGTGGCATATATGTGCCCAATGTTCTGTGCCGGAAGTGCTGCTCAATCCCGGAACAGAGAATGAGCTGTCACTGACAGCTACCGGTCACCTTTTACACTCGTAAGCTGGGGACAGCTGATCACAAGTCTCCCGTTATTAAGGTGGTTTTAAAGGGCTGGTAGCAAAAGGGTTATAAGATGTCCTGGTTTTCAATTTTGAAAGGTATGTTTATTCTATCTTGAAAAAAAATATATTGAAGTCAATAAAATTACCTGAGGCTTCTAAATCCTTCCTTGTGTGATTTTGTATCTACATGTTTTACAAACGGCATTTGACAACAGCACCCACGTCCGATGCCATCTGTATTCAAATGTAGAACTGCTCAGGTGCATTCAGACAAAAACACAACACAACATAAGGCGATGTTCCACATGCTCTGCCTGCAGTGCCAGCACATCTGAATATTACCTGCTGCATCCAAAGAAACACAGCACAATGAAGGTCATATGCAGCCTCAGAACTATCAGCCACACTGAACCATTGAAGTAAATGGAGATCTGATGACCTGCATTTGATGTGCACTTCAAACACCACCCATCTATACAAGCCCTAAATCACCTTAACATCATTCTCATTGACTGATGTATTTTATATCAGGTGGTAGGGTTTCTGTCACTATAGAGGAGACCCTTTGTTACTGCCACACCATGTCAAAGCATTTTTATAATATATAGATAGTGTGGCATTGTGAGGCAATACCACGGTGTTAGGTGGCCTCAAAGTCACCCAGGGTTCTCAGCCAGAGGGGCTGAGTGGCTCCAGGAAGACATTACTGGTACCAGGAGAGAACTGCCTTTTCAGTTCTTTCTGGGTTTCTGGATCAAGGTTGGGATCCTGGAGCCAGGAGATTTCTTAGAGCTCTGGGTGGGAAGAAATCTCCATTCCTGGGTCCATGCTTTGGTGGTGACCAGCACCTGATTGTGCACCTGTTTACATCCCTCATGAAGTGTGTGCTGGGATGTGTTCAGGGCCCCACCTGTGAGTCAGGAGAGCTCCACCCTGGAGTCAGTGGAGGCCAGTGCAGCAGGGAGCTGCGGGGTTTGCGAACCATATTGAGAGGATTGGCATGTTAATTGCCGTTGTCTGGAGGAACCAGACAATGGCCCTAAAGATTGAGGCCGGAGCAGCAGTGCTGCAAGAGAGACAGATGTCGGTGAGCCCTTATCTGTTATATGCTACAGCGAGCTATTTATGTTGGATTTCATGTTATCTACCGTTTTGAAAGCAAATAAACTGCATCTGACTTGCACCTCCGGTCTACAGTGGAGTGTCCTTGTTACAATAGACAGACAGATTCCGTAGATCGATAAGGAAATGAGAAATTATGTGGATCAAGAGACAGGCGTATATATTTTTAAGTTTAATATTTTTTTTAAATATTTCTGCTTCTGTTATAATTCAGGAGCAGCAGATATGTGACTGTGCCAGTGTGAGCTGATCTCAATCACCCTTCTCAATATGAATTCCACTGTCATCTCTCGCGGTGACCTTGGGTATGTTTCTTTACAGCGTGTGCCTCAGGCAATGCTCTCCTCCAGAGACCAGCACTTCCAGCAATATTACAGTCGCTGTGCTCAATGCTTTCCTATTTTATAGACAATACACTGTCATTTCCTGAATTAGAATTCACTGAGGGTTAACCTCATTTTATATTATGTCCATTCATATTCATAGACAGTGCTGCAATTTACATAAACGCAAACGATAAGTGGTAATGTGATCGCGCGAAAGCCTTAAACAGTGAATGAAGAATGGGAAAGTGCACTATATTGATGCTGCTGTGTGGTCATTCATGTGGGTAGTTTCAAATCGATTACAAGAAGGATTTTGTCACGTATTTCAGCACATGGTTGTTTTATCAGAGAGAGCAGTTTTATAACGAACACTGCTACATACAAAGATTTGCCTCCTTTTGGGTGTAAATTGCACCATGTTATTATGCATGCTGATGGTCTGTACAATATTGTGCGGTGCATGCATGTTCTAGTCAGGGCCGGATTTACTCTCTCTGCTGGTCCAATGCCAGGTTCATCAATGCACCCCCTGTATGCAGGCTGCATATAAGTGATCTTGGTGACATCACTGAGATCACTTGTAGAAAACAAGCGGCGGCTTCCCCGTTGTACAATTAGCCCTGATGCCCAAAACAGGGCGTCTGGAGAGATAGG